AGGAGGGATGGAGTGAAGGAGGTGGGGGGGGGGAGTTGGTTTGGTGCATTATTAAATTTCCTTGCTGAAGGTTTCAATGTACTTACAATAGCGCTCTATTAAGTACACCTTGCAAAATTTCTTTATCTCCTTTTTATGTGATATTAGATCCGGTATATATATATGTGTGTGTGTGTCTGAGAAATCCTTTTTCTAAAGAGAATGCTCACAAAATTTGATTCCCACTGACGAAATAAATGAAATGATTTAATGATGACTTCTTCTAAAAAATATATGAAATTTCTTCTGCTTGTTTTTTTTCTTTCTTTTCTTAGTTTAGAATTAAATTTGTGAACATTCCCATTATATGCACTCTGCACTCTACAGGCCAATATTAACACATTGCTGAAGAACTAACTAGCAAGATAGATATATAGATAGATGGATAGATAGATGGAAATATTATGAAGAGAGATAGTTCGCTTGATAGCTAACATTAGATAGTTATTTTTACAACTTGTAGTTTTTAATATCGTGATAGAGTATAGTAAATTTAGAGTTTAGACTCCTAAATACAGATAGATAAAAAGATAGATAGATGTGAAAACATAGATAGACGTAAAAAAGATAGATAGATAGACAGACGGGGCATGTGTTTAAGACAAAGAAATCAAGTATTATACAAGAACACAGTTACAAAACAGGAAGAAAGCAGGAAGAGAACAGGAAGAGAACAGGAAGAGAACAGGAAGAGAACAGGAAATGAACAGGAAGAGAACAGGAAGAGAACAGGAGGAGAACAGGAAGAGAACAGGAAGAGTTCAGGAAGAGAACAGGAAGAGAACAGGAAGAGAACAGGAGGAGAACTGGAAGAGAACAAGAATAAAACAGGAAGAGAACAAGAAGAAAACAGAGAAAGAAAGAAGATTATGTATAGAACAGAAAGGAAGTAGATTACGTGGAGACCAGAATTAAAGTAGATTTAGGAAGACAGAAAGGAAGTAGATTATGTGAAGACCAGAAATAAAGTAGATTATGTGAAGACAAGAAATAAAGTAGATTATGTGGAGACCACATAGAAAGTAGATTTAGGAAGACAGAAAGAAAGTAGATTATAAGAATAACAAAAAGAAAGTCTGTTTGAACCTCAAATGGAACAATTATATGAGCCTAATCTAGTCTAATAGGACCAATCCTAATATATATATGCATTGTGGATCATGTAAGCTTGGGAGCTTTAATCTACATTATGCACTCTCCCCCCTTCCAACACTATAAAGTATATAGTAGAAGTGTCTAATATCTAGTACAATCCTGTCTGCAGAGCTCAAATCTTCCAAAGATGATTTACATGTTGGATAATATAAAAATAACGAAATTCTGATTCGAAATTTATGAATTAGTTGATCCCGCTTTTATGTTGGTGCGTCCCCCTTAGACCAGGGTTGTCAGTGAATATGTTCCTTCCTCGGAACTAACGGATAGGGACGAGAGTCCTGTATCTGAACTACAGTCGTCACTAGTCTCACTCTTTAGTATTGATTTAGGTACGGAGTTAATAGTTCTAGGACTAGTCCGAGCTCTCTGCTCCGGGTCTAGGGAGGAGTCGGAGTCACTGAACCTCACACTTTTAATTGTTTTAGTCTCTTTAGATTCCCCTCCCTCTCCTCCCTCCCCACCCTCGCAGATCTTGAGGGATTTCACAATATTGAGGTCGGATTCAAGACGCTTCCCCTCCCTCTCCACGATGTTGACGTCGAACTCTAGTTGTGAGACAAGTTTTCTCTTGTGCTCCCCCCACACCTTGAGACGGGAGAGGGTTGAACCGTTCTCACTGATCTCCTGCATCAATCTAAACAAGGAAATACAGGATTAAAATATATATTTTTGATACTTCATTGACCAGATTTTATGAATAGCTAGAATTAGCTGAACCTCACAGACGTAGTTCAACTACTTCTCGTGTGCGGATTAAGCTTAAGAGAAGTGGCTTAATAGAGTATACGAGGTTCATCTATATCTCGTTATTTATAAAATCTGGCCCCAGTTTAAAAAAAATCTTCCAATCTCCAGAAAAATATAATTATCAATAAAAACTAATCCCTTGGAATAAAAACACTACTTAATCTAGTGGATTAGTGTTATAGTTGATTTAGAGTCTTATCTTAATCTTGTTCAACCTTCATATTAAGAGATTAATTTTCAATCTAAAAATAAAAGATTTAAAAATTAGAGGCGCACCGCGCAACATCAAGAGAGAACAACGACGACATCTTTTCATTGTGATCAGTTTAAGGTAAGGGTCAGTTGTAATATTTAAAATAATTAAACAGCTGCTGTATGTGAGTATAGAATTTGTGCAAAATAATCTTCAAATTATACAAAGAGAACTATAAAAAAGAAGGTGAAATATCAGAATGACATTTTTGAAGAATTACGATACCGTCTTACCTTGCGTTAATTTCTCTATACTTGACAACGTCTGTATTAAAGCAGGGAGGCGGAGTTTTATAACCCTGCTCCGGGTCCTGGTTGGGTTGCAGGGAGGCACAATGGTAGGACAAGGAGATCATCTGCTCCTCCTTACTCTCCAGGATACAGTTCAACCTATGCAGCTTCTCATACATCTCAATCCAGGAGTAGAAATCAGGATCAGTGGGCGGAGGGACCAGGAGAACATGGTCATCCTCAACCTCATCCTGGTCCTCGTCTAGACCATCTAGACCCTCGTTGCTTATGTTTATGTTCTCCCCCTCAAACCCTTCTTTTTTAAAGTTAATATCAGTTAAACCTTGAACATTCTTAGCTGACATTTTCGGAGCTTGGGCATCCAAAATATTTGTGATTGGTCTTTTGGCATTCTTCGGGTCCTTGTTTAGTCCCAGGATTTCCCGTGTCGAATCCTTGTCCTTGGCTTGCTCCGGGATATTCTGTTGTCCTGTGGTGACACGAGGATATTTAGAACAATTAGTTAGATCATTAACCTTCCTATTATCCGTCCCAACACTAGGTATCTTCGTATCTAGCATTCTAGTGCCCAGATCAGATCTGAATTGTTCACTCTCGTTTACAGATTTTACAAGAGAACTTGGTTTGGTCGGCAGAGCAGGCAATATTCTACCCTTGCTGGTACCTTCGGGTTTGGCAGGGATGGCCGGCAAGCGTTTGATCGGAACTTCCGGCCGATTATTTGGTTTGTTTAGTAAAACTGGAGGTTGGTAGGTTTGGGATGAATTATTGTTTATCGGTAAATCCTGGAATTGAGACTTTAAAGCCTGGCGCTGATTGGATAGGTTCCGTTGATCCTTATCCAGATCCCCGGGCAGTGGTTGAGTAGACCCGGAGAAGGAGGAACCAGGGTTCTGTCGATCATTAATAAATCCTGCATTGATTTTTACGTCCTGGTTGTGATTAATGATACTTTGGGTTGATACTCCCCGTCCTGGTATCTCAAGGGTTGAGTTGGAATACGGAGATACCTTCATCTCTCCTGTTATAGGGTTCAAGGGATACTCCAGTGAGGAGTCTAAACTGCAGATCTCAGGAGTGTCTATTCGTCCTCCAGTTCTCCGTCCAACCTTCACCTCCAGGTCGAGGACGTCCTCTCCTCCGACTCCACTGTCATTCGAGGTTTCAGGGTTCTCCGCTATCGGAGGCTTTGGAGACGGAAGACGTGTCTCCGACAGTATTCTAATATCGTTGAGAAGTTTTTCCAGTTTGCTATGTTCCTCTCCAGTCTAAAATAAAACAATTTTATTGTTGTTATTGTTTAATGTTAATAAGCTTTCCGATCGTGAATCAATTTTCATTGTAAACCCAACTCTTTTCATCCTGTATCCATTTCTATACCCCTCCCTTCCTCTTCCTCCTTGTTACATGACACCCCTTAACCCTCCTCCATTATCTTCTAATCTTCCTTCCCAAACATTTAATCTGGCCTCACCATGTGCCCTGAATGGCTGACCCCTGAGGCTTAGTTTAATCCTAGTTACATCAGTTTTAAGATTAACCAAGTTAAATCTTTGTTTATCTTTTAACCTAGAGTTAAACCTTTGTTTATGTTTAGCTTGCAGGATTAGAATAGAATATCAGGAAATAGGTAACACAGAGAGAGAGGGGAGGGGAGGGGGTTAATGGAAAGAGGGGTAAATGGAGGGAAGCAAAAAATGGTAATTTGTGAAAAATAAAGTAAGATGGAAAATAGAAAAGATGAAAGAAGAACAAGAAGAACAAGAAGAACAAGATGAACAAGAAGAACAAGAAGAACAAGAAAAACAAGAAGAACAAGAAGAACAAGAAGAACAAGACGAACAAGAAGAACAAGATGAACAAGATGAACAAGAAGAACAAGAAGAACAAGAAGAACAAGAAGAACAAGAAGAACAAGAAGAACAAGATGAATAAGAAGAATCCCCCCCTCCTGAATGATAGGAAAAAGTCTCCCCGAACAGCAGTTGAACAAATTCGACAAATTAGACTTTTCTGTAATTACAATTCCAATTAATTACCACCTTTTTATTCCAAGCTTTGGTTCGACAGCTCTTGGGTTATTTCAGTTTATAAAAAAAACAGATTTGTATAGATTGTATCGATTGTTCTGCTTTTAAGCAACTGTGGTCGGCAAACTATAATGATTATTATGACAATTTAAAACTTACTTTAATATTATATGCTGCTAAAAAGTTTATTTGATAATTCATTTGAGTTTTGATGATTTATACAATATAATATTTTTCGTTTTCTTCCGTATAACTTTGGAGACCTCTGTATCAATCCATCTTTCTATCTAATGCTTTTTTTTGCTATTTGCATAAGACTCTTTTTATCTATCTATCTGCTTATTTATCTATCTATCTATCTATCTATCTATCAGCATTTATCGAACTATCTATCTGTCTATCTATACAACTACCTAACAATCATCTATCTATCGATCGATCTATTTATCTATCTATCTATCTATCTATCAGGATTTATCCAACTATCTATCGATAGATCTATTTATCTATCGATCTATCTATCTATCTATCGATCCTTCTGTCTATCGTTAATTCTATCTTTAAGATAGATATAACGATTACGGTATACTATACGACATCCTGCAGCTGTTGAAGAAACTATAAAGAAAGTCGTTAAAAGAAAAAACACATTAAAAATAGACTTAAATAGAATCTGCCTAATTTATATATATAGATTTAAATACATATCTTTATTCTAAATCATTTTATAATTGACTAAAATTCAACTTTATTGTAATAAACCTAAATAAAGAATAAAACGAATTTTTATCTATCTATCTATCAATCTATCTATCTATCTATCTATCTATCTATCTATCTGTCTATCTATCTATCTATCTATCTATCTATCTATCTATCTATTATCCCTCTCCATCCCTCTCCATCCCTCTCCATCCCTCTCCATCCCTCTCCATCCCTCTCCATCCCTCTCCATCCCTCTACATCCCTCTCCATCCCTCAATATCCCTGTACATCCCTCCCTCATTTCCTGCTAAGATCTTCTACGTGTAAAACTCTTGAACCTGTTAAACCCTCTGTTTTTCTACTAGTTAAGATAAAACTTGAACTAATTATACAACGTCTCAATATTTACAACCATTTACTACCCTTCCCTCCTCCCTCCTCTCTTCTCTCTCCTCTCTTCTCTCTTCTCTCTTCACTCTTCTTTAATCACTCTTCTCTCTTCTCTCTTCTTTAATCTCTAATTTCTCTTCACTCTTCTCTCAATTCTATCTCGTCAGTTTCTTTTCCTTCCACTAGCTCTGTCCATCCTTCTCTTCCAGAGTCCCCTTCTCTCTCTCTATTCTGGTTTTTCTAATTTTCTCAAAATATAAAAATATTTTATGTTTCAATTATTCAAGTCTAAGGATGACCATTATCCGTCTTTTTATCTTTAAATCTGACATTTCATTTACAAATTTAGAATTCTTTAAAGATTTTATAATGAGGAACAAAATCTGAGAAAACTCTTAAACATAATTATGGAATATTTAGAACTTTACCTACCTACAGTGAAACTTATAAAACCATGGATTAAACAACTACCTGAACTACCTGAACTATCTTAACTACCTTGAAGTACCTGAAGTACCTGAACTACTTGAAGTACCTTAACTACCTGAACTACCAGAACTACTTGAACTACTTAAACTACCTGAACTACTTAAACTACCTGAACTGCATTTGAAGTACCTGAACTACCTGAACTACCTGAACTACCTGAACTACCTGAACTACTTTAACTACCTGAACTACCTGAACTACTTGAACTACCTGAACTACTTGAACTACTTGAAGTACCTAGACTACCTGAACTACTCGAAGTACTTGAACTACTTGAACTACCTGAACTACCTGAACTACCTGAACTACCTGAAATACCTGAACTACTTGAAGTACATGAACTACTTGACCTACCTGAACTACTTGAACTACCTGAACTATCTGAACTACTTAAACTACCTGAACTACCTGAACTACTTGAACTACCTGAACTGCACTTGAAGTACCTGAACTACCTTAACTACCTGAACTACCTAAACTACCTGAACTACCTGAACTACCTGAACTACCTGAACTACTTGAACTACCTGAAGTACCTGAACTACCTGAACTACTTGAAGTACCTGAAGTACCTAAACTTCTTGAATTACCTGTATCTGCATGAGATGTTGTTTGACGGCCTCCCCCTGGTGAATGATCGAGGCCAGGATTCCCTGGATATCATTCTCGAGGTCCTTCGGGGACCTGACCAGGCTCCTGAAGTATCATTATTATCATTGTAATCATTATTATCATTATCATTTTCATTTTACCATCATTATTATAATTAATAATTATTATTATCATGTTCTAATCATTATTATCACTATTATGTTCATTATTTTTATTATTATTATTGCTATTATCATCATTATTATCATTATTATCATCATTGTTTAAACTGATTTAAACCTCCCTTCTGCTCCCCTGCAGGATAGTTTATATATTTATAGTTTAGATCTATAAATACTAAACAATACAGAAGAACCAGCAAGACAAGGAACTGTTAAGGGTTTAAAACCTCTGTAAAAAGTTTATGCAAGCAATTAAACAACAACCAGTTAACTCATTAAATCTAGACTTTTATTCTAATGAATAACAGGCTTGACAAATTAAACTACTAAAGGTTGAAAAAAATAGGCAAAAACCCCCTTGGACTTATTAGTTATAAATTGGATACTTTATAGAAAGATAGATAGATAATTAGATAGATAGATAGATAGATAGATAGATAGATAGATAGATAGATAGATAGATAGATAGATAGATATATAGATTTATAGATAGATAGATAGATAGATAGATAGATAGATAGATAGATAGATAGATAGATAGATAGATAGATAGATAGATAGATAGATAGATAGATAGATAGATAGATAGATAGATAGATAGATAGATAGATAGATAGATAGATAGATAGATAGATAGATAGATAGATAGATAGATAGATAGATAGATAGATAGATAGATAGATANAGGGTACAGACAGTTCTTTTAGTACATACAGTACATAGGGTACATACAGTTCTTTTAGTACATACAGTACATAGGGTACATACAGTTCTTTTAGTAGATACAGTAGATACAGTACATAAGTTGTATACGCTACTTTTTTACATATGTCCAACAAAGTATTATAATCTTTATTTGTACAAAAATAGGCATATATATGTAATATGTATGTATACAATAAACATCATTGTACATAGATTACCTTAATATATGTAATATGTATGTACTAAAGGTTTATATTGTGGACATATGCATATCCAGTTTTTTGGGGGCAAAACATTTTTATAAAAATTGTTTTACAAGAAAAAAACTATTGAATTGTATTCATGATCAGTTAACAAATTATTCATTTTAAACCAAGTAGTCTTTAGTTTTTTTTGATTTTCTTGATTTTCTTCTAAAAAGATAATAAAGATAATGAAGATGATTAAAATGATAAAGATGATAAAGATAGAATTTAGAAAATAAAATTTAATAAACTTTTCTGTTCGCGCCCAGGCGTGAAATTGTTTTATAGATTTCCTAAACCATAAACATGTTTGAAATTTAATCAAATATAAAACCAAGGGATGCATTCACACTGTTAACTTAAAAAATCTACCAAAAATATGGTCAAGGAGTTTTGGAAGGGAGGGGGGGGGGGCAAATACTCAGGGTTATATATAAGATTATAATACATTTGTAGATTATGCAGTATGATATGAGTCCCTACTATTTCAAGAAACAGGGTTGCACACAAACATTTTATTTTAGAGTTGCAGCTGTTCAGTGTACACTAAACCAAATTATTTTTCAGCATTTGGACTTTGTTTTTAGGTAAATACCGTCGTTCTAGGGCTTAAACCCTGTAAAGGAACAGGACAGCCAGAACAGATAAATTGCAAATAATTAAAGATGGAGCATAACATACATTATTCTGTATATAGATCTTGTACTATAAAATATGATGGCGGATAAAGAATAAAGAGTATAGGGCTGATAAAGAAAGATTGGCGAATAAAAAAATACGGCGGAAAAAGAAAGATGGTTTATAAAAAATGTCGAATAAAGAAAAATGGCAGATAAATAATGATGGCGGATAAAGAAATTTGCTGATAAAGAAAGTTGGTTGATAAAAAATGGCGGATAAAGAAATATGGCGGTTAAAGAAAGATGGCAATTGAAAGATGACAGAAAAAGAAAGATGGTTGATAAAGAAAAATGCCGTATAAAGAAAGATGTTGGATAAAGAAAAACTATGGATAATGAAGGATGGCGGATACAGAAGATGGCGGTTAAAAATGGCAGATATAGAAAGATGTGGGATACAGAAAAATGGAGGGAAAAAAAGATGGCGAATTAAAAAAAAAGCCGGGTAAAAGAATATGGCGGATACAAAATGGTGGATCCAGAAAACTGGTGGATTTGTTGAATTATACTTATTTACTTTATCTCTGTCTATATCCTTAGACCACACTGGGTTAACATATAAAACAAATGTGTGTACATTTGCCAAACCTAACCAAATTGCTAACCTAACATCACCAAAGATCGTATCGTAAGTCGGGACTCTGGCCTGCAAAATCATGCAAAAACGGAACACGCACAAAAACATAGAACGTGTGCAAAAAAGCAGACCAAAAAACTAAATGCATGCGCGCTGGCTTAGCTAAGTGATAAGAGCAAAGTAAACAAGTTAAATATGAAGAATTTTGACAGGTTTTCACTTCTCTTAGATCTTGACAAGCCCGGAGAAATCTTGGGGATTTAAAACAACAATCAGCTGATTTTGAAATTAAAAACATAATCAATACACTTCACACTATACTCCTCTTAGTGATGAAGAATTTGCATATTTGAGAATCTGAAACTATATTTTATGTGTTGATGCCTTAAACCTGTTTTTGTTGGTTGATCTCCTTGCTCTCCTTGTTCTCCTTGTACCGGACCCTCTTAACCAGGAACGTCACGTTCTCGGCCTCAGCTCCCCAGGCAGACCAGATCTTCAGGACCAGAGTACTCGGCCTCAATACCTAGGTAGGGGTAGGTAGGTAGGTAGGTAGGTAGGTAGGTAGGTAGGTAGGTAG